TTCGTACCCCTGTGTGTTCCACACCATGTAACCCCGTTACACCTCCCCTCGCATTATCTTTTGAAATACATCAGAAATCATCGACATTTTATTTTTTAGAGATTGCATATGACACCCTTATGCCAGTTTTGGGGGGCGTCCAATGGGTAAAGCCAGCAGCCATGATCCGCAACGTTCCGACTGCTAGCAAATCCGGGGGTCTCAACTGTGATACAGGCCTGATACTATTGAAACGAGTAGACTTTCGAGTCTGGCTTTTAGTTTATACGAGGCTTGTTAGCGGTAAATTACGCTCCCGACGATTCTGGGCCGCCAAATTATGGAGCTCCTACAATCCAGAGTGTGCCAATCCGGCGACAGCCTCATTGAAGCGCACGGCGATTCTCTTGCAATTTTGGCTTTCGACCGAGCGAGTAGTAAGTTCTACAAAAGGCTATTAAGCTCGGGGGTAGTGACACAACTGCTTTTGTCGTGGGGGCAGTCTCAAATGCCGTTATTATCCACTGCTTACAGGAGCAACCAGGTTGGATATTGAGTCCTTGGCATCGGCATTAGCGGTCCTTCAATACCCAAGTGTTTTAACCCCCCTGGTACCAGCCTTCGTTTTCACATCAGAAAAATGTCAGGGTCACGATTCAGAAAAATATCGGTCCTTGTGTCATGCTCGTCATTATACATGGCAGTGACACAGGTTACAACCTTGGAGCAGCTCTTCGTTACGGAAGAGCTCACGATGGAAACTGTTCGAATTTTCACTCTTCACGGTTTTTTTAAGAAGCCCCGCGACTCAAGGTTCCGAAAAAGAATGCGATGAGCACCATTTTCGCCGTCGCTTTCACTTCAGACCCGAAAATGCAACTTTTAAGACAATTCTTTCTTCTTACAGCAATTAATAATGCAATTGATTTATTGATAATTATTCTGGACGATTCTAAAGCAGCAGAAACGCTAGGCGAGCACCTCTTTATTGACCAAATAACCTAAGCTGAGCTCTATGATGTAATTTGGTATTTTTGGCCACTCAAACGACAATCGGTCTAATCGAACCCGCATCTTCGTAACGCAATGTACTGCTAAAAGCAGCTGTGTATTTTTAACGACCAGTTTAATTTTTCTACTACGTAGCGCAAGACAGAGGGCCGGAAATATGCCAGCGGATACCACGTCAGTGCTGTAAAGCATACAAAATATGGCAAGGAATTCTCTATTTTATTCTTTCGGGACAATAATCATAATTAAAATTAAAAGTTCAAATGCGTTTGTCCTGCACTGCACCAAACAGGGCTAGGGTGTAAAAGGAGGGGTGATGTAGCCTCTCTCAGTTCATCCGGAACGGAGTTTAATGAATCCGTGCTAGTGCTTAGAGTGTAAGCGCTTCAGAGGTTGGCTTGAGCATGACCTAACTAGCTATACGAAGAGCCGTGCAGGGCGCTACTTTGGTGATAATGCTGCCGCCGTTGCTGGTGACTCTCACGATAGCACTCTCAAACTATTAATACCGGTACGATATATCTCCCACATACATCTATTGCCATATATTGTGGCCCACAATCGGTGGAATGCCGAGGCATACTCTTGCAATCCGATTTGAGCACTCAGCACCAAATTTCAGAGCTCATCTGGGCGATCGTGCACGGCCTTGATAGAATAAGGAAGTTGAAGTCCCGATGACACACCTTGCTCCTGTCCTCCACTTTTGGAGATGTGCAGTCTCATGACACCCACCCAGACTACCATCTGTGGATGTGCTTTTGATAATGCGGAAAATAAAATTGTCATCATTGTTGACGCGATAAATTCAAGTAGCATCAACAATGTCCTTTATCTTTATCAGCGTTTATCAAACTATCACCACCCTCGCCTTTGTTTCTTGTTCCCGTGCATCTTCGATTGCACCAATCGAGCCTCTTCACATTTCGTCTCTACATCCGCAAGCCTGCCATACCCCTTCCATCATGTTCAAGTCGTTGTTCATCCTCAGCTTCGTCGTCGTTGCCTTGTTGGCTCCTACCTCTGTCGACGCTGCTGGTGTCGCTCAGCCAAGATGCGACCTCCGGGCGAGGAGTGTGTTATCGGCAGCGAAGGATCCATGTCCTTGCGCGTAAGACGATGCGTCAAGCAGCCGGAATGGAATTCTACAATTTGAATGGCACAAGAACGTGTAATTCCAGCAACCGATACCCACAAGTACAGCGTTACATGCATTATCCGTAATTGATAATAACTGTACTCGCTTTATTTTTATTTTGCCAAAACACAGAAGCAAAACTATTCGGTGACAATTCTGAATGTACCCTTCTCAAAACAAGTCATCTAAAACACGACCAAAGTAAACTTCCATAGAAACTGCTGATGCCGCATCGCTGATTGAGGGCTCAGCAGCCAATTTTAGCTGTCCACAACGTTCGTCCAGGAGCTCCCCCGTGATGTGAGAAGACAACTCACTATTTGTCATGGACACTAGCAGTCCCGAGTTCCAGGAGGCATTACGAGACCATGCACGAAGTCTTGGCGTTGACCCGGACTCCGAAAGCTATCTGCTATCTCTTGTTCAGGAGGCATTACTGGCTGAGCTTCCTCCAGACTGGGAACAGGGCGAGACTGAAGACGGCACGCTCTACTACTTTAATTCGAGTACAGAGGAAAGCATCTGGGAGCATCCGCTGGACGCGCACTATCGAGAGCTCATTCAATTGAGAAAAGATGAACATGCTGCTCAAGTTGCGTCTCAACCGACCGAAACGATTCCCGAAGCACATACCGAAACTATCGATACCAAGAGCAGTTCAAACGCCCCTGCGGTAACCAACAACGTCGATGTGTACAGCTTTGACGACATCAGTGACGAGGAAACGCCGGCGCCTGTCACCTCCGCTCTAGTGTCAAATAAATCTAGAATCAGCGACCTCTTTTCCACGCCAACACAGTCCACTCCATCCTGGAAAACTGGTAATAGTACTAACGCTTCGGTTGATTCTACCTCAACAGTAGCGCAGTCGACTCCGGTAGCCACAGGATTCGGTTTTGGTCGTGATCGCTCGTGGCTTTTAGATAACGATGACGACGTGGTTCCTGTTGCGATCAAACCATTGTCAACTACACTCCCAAAGCAGGAGACAGCAGCTTCGAACGCAGCTGACGCGAGTCTTTCACGCTTAGAACCGTTTACATCTCAACGACCTGGAAGCGCTGCGCCCACCACAGTCACCCCGACAGCAGCGATAGCTCCCTTGTCTAGTAGTCATACTACGCAACAGGATTCCAGGTGGTCTAGTAAACAATCGACTACAACTACAACTTTTGCGTCGTCGCCTACGACAATAGCAAAGATGCAACAGCTAGAGACGAAACTAGACGACGCCAACAGTGAATTAGAACGGGAGCGAGTTGCTCATTCCGAGACCACGAAAAACCTCCAAACCGCTCAACAGGAAGCCAAAGAAAGCAACTATCTCAAGATGAAAGTCAACGAGCTGAAGACCAAGCTCTCCGAACAGGAGACTGCAGCTTCTACGATGGAAAGGCAACACCTTGACGAACTAGCTCAACAGGACAGCGCTGTATCAGCACGAGAGAAGCAACTGGGGGATAAACTCGCCAAACTGGAAGCTGAAAACACTTGTCTTGTCAAGCAACAGGGGCAAACGCAAAGTCAACAAATGGAAGCCCAGCAGAAAGAAGCTCAGCAGAACAGAGAAGCTCTGGAGAGTAAACAAACAGAACTTGACCGTCTTCAGAAGCGTCTTGCAGAACAAGAGCAACAATCCAAAACAGCTTCAGAAATATTTGAGAAAACGAAAACTGAACTTCAAGGGAAACTTGACCAGCAACTCTCTTCAACTGAAACGTTAAATCGTCAACATGCCACTGAAGTTGCAGCACTTCGTGACCAACTGGAAAAAGTTGCACTAGAAAATCGCATTCTAAAGTCAACACTCGACGAGCAGACGAAAAAGTGTCAACAATTAGAGATACTTCAGCAAGAATCAGCTTCAAAGTCTCTACAATTTGATAAAGTGCAACAGGAACTTCGAATGTTGCAAATCACAGCAGATGAACAAGCTGTAAAGTGTCAACAGCTTAACATTGTGCAAGAAGCGTTGACGAAACAGGAGAAAATAACGCAAGAAATGGAGGAGAAGAACCGCGTTTTACAGACGAAAGTTGATCGTCTTGAACGAGAAAGCACGGAAATGAGTAGGAAGTACGATGTAATAAGTCAAGATCTAGACGCCAAGAAGGCGGAAAATACGACACTACAAGTTGCACTCAACAGGACTCAAGACGAGCTTCGTAGAGCTCAAGAAGAGCTTCGGAAGGCTCAGGAAGAGACCCGAACGATCAATAGTAGCTTTGAACAACAGAAGCACCAGCAGCAGTTGGCCACGGACCGAGAACGTATCACTGCTGACGCTGAAGCGCAGGCTCAGTCGCGTATCCAGAGACTTCAAACGCAGCTCAATGTACAGCTAGACGAACAGGCTGGGGCGAAGACGAGGCTCCAGTCAGAGGTCATTGAGCTACGAGGCGAGTTGGCCAGTGTACAGGCTCAGCAAGTGAAGCCACTCGAGAAACAACGCGACCAGCTTCAACGTGAAGTTGATCGTCTGGCTGAGCGCGTCCCGACGCTCGAGAAGGAGCTACGCATCGCCAAGCAAGAGCTGTCGACACAGACAGACCGAACGAACCAACTGGAGCTCGAAGTTGACGTGCTAGTGCGTCGCGAACAGCAGCGCAAAGCACAGACAGACGCGCTCACGACAGCTAAGCACACAGTCGAGAAACAGCTCGCTGCACTGCAAGATGAACTGCTCAGTGCACAGCACGATAAGCGCGTAGATAGTGACAAACTGAGCTTCCGTGTGCGTGAACTAGAGAGCCAAGTGACGCAGAAAGACTACGAAGCGGCGCGATTGGAAGAACGGTTCGCTAAAGCTGAAGCGTGGCGTGCTAAGGAAGCTGCGCGCGTGGAAAAGCGCGGTGCGCAGCTGATGGAGCTACGCGAGCAGCTCACAGCGATACAGGCGCGTCATGTAGAGGTTGAGACGAGTGCTGAGATCCAGGAGCTGCGTGCGGCCAAGCAGAAGGCGGAGCTCGCGCTGCAGAAGCTCGAACGCGAACTGAGCGACGAACGGGACGCTCGCAAACGCGACGAAATCCGACGGACAGAGGAACTGCAACGTATGCAACAAGCGGTAGAATGGCAACTCCCTCAACTGGCGCAAGCTTGTGTAACGCGATCAAGTGATGAGTGGGCAAGGAAGTGTCGAGCTGTAGCCAAGAAGCTACGTGACGAACTTAGTATGCGTGCATTACAAGAGCGAAACGAGCTTGTTGCACGAGAACATCAAGCTCATGAAGCTTGCGAGAGAGCGCAACAGAAACTAAAGACTGCAGTTGCAGATAGCGACTTCTTGAGACGTGAAGTAGGTCGTCTAGAGGACAATAATAAGGTGTTGCTCGAACAGCTCCACACTATCCGGGTGTATCTGATGCAGCGCCCGATGCCTACTCAAGTGTCCGGTGTGTCATGGACGCAACCTCCTTCAAACCCGATGCCACCGTCTGGTGCTACAGTACCGATAAACTTCAGTGACTTGTCTACAGTCAACCAATTGAACACCCAACTCGGTGTCTTGCACGCGCAATTCCAGCAACTTTTTGACTCAAATGAGCGACGACAGTCGTTCTCACCCAGCGATCGCTTCGAGATCCCTGGATCTCCTATTGGGAGAGCTCCAGGGACCCCGAAGCAGTCGCTCAACGACCAGATGAAGCGGAAAGAAGAGGAAGAAGAGGCGGAAACGGAGCGAATCGCAATGGAAGCGTTGATGGACCAGAAGATCGCGACCGGCAACTCGCCGTCACCTTTTCAGCGACAACAAGAGGAACTGCTGACGACACTTGAGTCACTTGGAGGTTCCAATCCGCGGTGGATGCCGGTGTATCAGTCTCCGGCACACGGCCCACTCATGGATGAAGACAGCGGTGACCAGGAACCGCACTCCACGTTGTGGTATCAGCAGGATTACTGGCGTAGCAAATATCAATGACTAGGTACGTATGACGTGGCCCCGTGGCACTCAAATTTAGACTGGATGTGTGTGCATGAAAAATGATTTGCACGAAACCCGGATTCCACCAGGTATGATGACCAAAATCAAGACGTCGTCTGTGGAGCAGCATGCTCACGATAGCTTCTTGGGTTTTGGCAGCTCGATTCAAGACGAGAGTCGAGAATTTGGATTCTGATCCTCGCCATTATGATTCCACGTCGTTGTCAGTGACGGTCAGTGTTCATAGCGTCGATAGGCACAAATGTCTTGGAGTGCATGAGCATTTCGGAAATTATCTCAGCCCACTAGTGTAGAACATGGAAGCTGAAGTGCGTGAAGGCTGGAGTGCCAACACATACGTGTTGGGCCAAAGACGTGTACATGTATAGAGACGGAAGACTTGCTGCAAAATACTAGTTCGTCACGTCACACTGCATGAGACGATTTTTATACCAGATCAGGCTGGTCACTACTAATAGTATCAAATTAAGTAATACAAACTTATCAATTTACCAGATAGCGTTGGCTTCCCCCCTTCGCCTGTACTACGTGGTGTTCGTCGTTGGTAGATGCACGCTGATCAAGTCGTTGCTCGACAGCGCTCGAATGACATTTCAAGGATCTTGTATTGCTATTGTTGACCATGCCTTACCCACTATTAGGCGTCCCGTCTAAGTACGCTAAATCACCGATGTTCAACGTTGGAGCCTCTATAAACGAAATGCTGTTTAGAAGATTCAGATTACTAAGAAAACACAGACGGCCTTCCTAATATCTAATTACCTGTGAGTATCTACCAAAAAGGTCGCATAAAATGATGGGAGATTCGAATAAAACCTAATCTGTTTTAAACATTCAAACTTGTTTTCAGTAAGGCCTACAAAAACACCGTGTCCCAATCTAGCGGCTGTGGGCCGCTTTGTCAGTTCAGTTTTGTGCGAGCAGTGAGGTTTCCGGTGGTCTTGCGGACGAACTTAGCTTCCAAATTGCAGCATGTTGCGCTCCTCACAGATGAAGCAGGCGCTTGCCAAGGCAATGGCCCGTCCGGCTGCCACGCGCGGATTTGCCGTACGCAGCTCGACGCCTCTGGCCGGTGTCGAGACGTCGGCGCTTACGTCCAAGTACACGATTGTTGACCACGAATACGACGCCGTGGTCGTGGGTGCCGGTGGTGCCGGCCTGCGTGCGGCCATGGGCTGTGCCGAGGCTGGCCTAAAGACGGCATGTATCTCGAAGCTTTTCCCGACGCGTTCGCACACGGTGGCCGCCCAGGGAGGCATTAACGCCGCTCTTGGCAACATGTCGGAGGACGATTGGAGGTGGCATATGTACGACACCGTTAAGGGAAGTGATTGGCTCGGAGACCAGGACGCTATCCACTACATGTGCAGAGAGGTACGTCAAGAGTTGGCCATGTAAGTGGCCGGGGTATTTAACGCTATCTTTGCTCGATACACAGGCTCCTGAGGCCGTGCGCGAGCTGGAGGACTTTGGCCTGCCGTTCTCCCGTACGGAGGAGGGCAAGATCTACCAGCGTCCTTTCGGTGGCCAGAGTCTGGAGTTCGGCAAGGGCGGCCAGGCCCGTCGTACGGGCCTGCGCGGCCGACCGCACAGGTCACGCCATGCTGCACACGCTGTACGGCCGCTCGCTGGCCTTCGACACTTCGTACTTTATCGAGTACTTCGCTCTGGATCTCATCATGAATGACGCTGGCGAGTGCGTGGGTGTCATGGCCTTCAACATGGAGGACGGCACATTCCATCGCTTCCACACTAACAACACGGTGCTGGCTACGGGTGGCTACGGCCGTGCCTACTTCTCGTGCACGTCGGCCCACACGTGCACGGGTGACGGTACCGGCATGGCTCTGCGTGCCGGCATCCCCCTGCAGGACCCCGAGTTTGTGCAGTTCCACCCTACCGGTATCTACGGTGCCGGCTGTCTCATCACCGAAGGATCGCGTGGTGAGGGCGGTATCCTGCGTAACTCGGAGGGTGAACGCTTCATGGAGCGTTACGCCCCCACGGCCAAGGATCTGGCCTCGCGTGACGTCGTGTCGCGTGCCATGACCATGGAGATCCGTGAGGGCCGTGGTGTCGGTAAGAACCAGGACCACATCTTCCTACACCTGGACCACCTACCGCCTGAGCTGCTGCAGGAGCGTCTGCCCGGTATTTCGGAGACTGCCGCTATTTTTGCTGGCGTGGATGTGACCAAGGAGCCGATCCCGGTGCTACCGACCGTGCACTACAACATGGGCGGTATCGCTACCAACCACATGGGCGAAGTGGTGGTGCCGGACGTGGACGGCATGCCGGAGCCCGGTAAGCTGTACCCGGACAAGATCGTGCCCGGTCTGTTCGCTGCCGGTGAGGCTGCCTGCGCTTCGGTGCACGGTGCCAACCGTCTAGGAGCCAACTCGCTGCTGGATCTGGTGGTCTTCGGCCGTGCTTGTGCTCTACGTATTGCCGAGCTGACGAAGCCCGGCGAGAAGAAGCGCCCGATGCCGAAGGACGGTGGCCTGAAGGCTATCGAGGACGTGGACAAGCTGCGCTACGCTGACGGCAGCATCTCGACGGCTGAGCTGCGTGACGAGATGCAGAGAACCATGCAGGTGGACGCTGCTGTGTACCGTACGCAGGAGTCGCTAGAGGCCGGTAAGGACAAGATCGACGAGGTGGTGCCGAAGTTTAACGACATCAAGGTGACGGACCGGTCGCTCATCTGGAACACGGACCTGACGGAGACGCTGGAGCTGCGTAACCTGCTGGCCTGCGCGTCCTGCACCATGCACGGCGCTGAGGCTCGTAAGGAATCTCGTGGTGCCCACGCCCGTGAGGATTTCACGGAGCGTGACGACGTCAACTGGATGAAGCACACGGTCGCCTACCACGACGAGGAAGGCAAGACGCACATTGGCTACCGCTCCGTGCAGGACCAGACGCTGGACGAGAATGAATGCAAGCACGTCCCGCCCTTCGCGCGTGTCTACTAAGCCTTGGTCGGCGTACTAGCTCCATGGAGTACGGGATGAGACGTATTTTACCATGAAACTCGTAACGAAAACCAAGAAAATAAACGTCACAATTACTAAAAAAGCAATTTGTGTGGATCCCGGTCTCCTTCTGTTATTTAATAGTACATGTACAGTAGGGTACCGAAAGTGCTGGGCCCAGTGTTCGGATCGAGATCGTAGTGTCTGTACCCCCACGGAGTTCCTCCTGAAGTTGTTGACGACGGTTATGACCAACACACATGCGTTAATCATAATGGAGGCGATGGAGATCTCTTTGTGGTTGCTGGTTAGTGATGCTGTGCTGGATTCAACTTGAATTTAGAGAGAAAGAGTTTGGGTCTGGTGCTTGGCGAGTTCTCTGCTCACATATGGAGCAATATAGCTCGCAACATGACGAATTTTACGTTGGTGTGAAAGTTTGACCTCCAGAGAGAAAGAGACAAGACAAAGGCAAGTACCATCGCAGCACAACCACCATGGGCACACTGCACTGACTTGTAGCCAGGGGCAGCGTGTCCACGCCCGAGTTATAAGAAATTATACCGAAAAGTATTCTTAGTAAATTTCGTTAGGCACCCCTCTCGTCATCAGCACAATGTAAAGTCTTGATCAATTTCCTTGCAAAAGACGATCCTCATGTCTGAATTAGGCTTAACAAAGAAATCTAAATACGAGAAAATGGTAGGGAGATCCAAAAAACAATTTACACGAAAAAAAGCACTTGGCGCACTTTAAAAAATCTAAGTAAATCTGCCAAAAACAATTTTTTGTTTTTTTAAAGAGCCCAATTTCTTCGAAATAACCAATTTTCAAAGTCAATAGCCATGCCAGCGAATACGAAAAGCTCGGACTCCGCGGCGGCGACCAAGCCGCCGACGCCGTCGCCCCCGCAGCGCGCAGCTTCGTCGCAAGCCTCTGCTCGCAAGAAAGAGGCCCGCAAGGCGCCACATGCAGCCCCGGGCGGCACCAGCGTGAGCATGAGCAAAAAGGCGGCGGACGACGCATTGGGAGGCGGCGCGGGTCTGTCCAACGGCGACCTGTTCGCACGTAACCTGTCGGTTATGAGTGTGGCACACATCGCACGCGGCGTGGGCTTCGACGCCGTGCAGAAGTCGGCGGCAGACGCGCTGACGGAGATTCTAGCCAAGTGTGCGGCTGCACAATATATTGCAATATTATTGGAGAATTAACTTAAATCAGTATACTGTCCATGTTGACGTTTGTCAGACATCCAGCGTATAGGAGCATCTGCCAAGGAGATCGCAGAGCTGGCAGGACGCGCCCAACCCAAGGCAACAGACGTCGTGCAAGCGTTCCAGGACTTAGAGCCCGCTCCAGTGGAGATGAAAGACCTCGTGAAGGCCTTAGAGACTGCCAAGCGGCCATTCCCGCGTGATGTACCTGCTTTCCCGGCCAGGAAGAGAGACATCTCTGGAAATACTATTGAGCAGACCAAGATCGGACGACGAGAGACCCTTCCGCCTCATGTTCCGAGCTTCTTGCCGCCTCTGCCTAACCGCCACACGTACAGCTCCGACAGTCGCCTGGTGGTGGAGAGAGAGCAAGACACAAAGCGTCAACGACTTGAACTGCTCAGTGAGAAGGCTCACGTGCGCCAGTCACTTCACGGACTGCAGACTGTGGCTGCTAGTACGTCATGTTACATGTTACCTAAAGTGTACACATAGGTGAACTGCTGTGATGATTTGTGACAGAAAAACCGGCAGTTATTGTGCATCAGCCGACGTGGAACGCGTTCCAAGGCTCGACAGGAGACAATGCCACGGAGAACCCGTTCGTTCAGGCTCCTATTGTCAGTCCGGCAGCTAAGGTGCTGTGTTGGGGGGATGTATGACGATGGTTGGGTTATTTTCTAACGTGGTTTATGTTGCTGGCGATTACACAGAGCATTTTCTCCGGACCAGATCGGGACTTTGTGCCGACTGTTGATAGAGAGAAAGCGCAGTCGAAGAACCAGCTGGAGAACAATGTCACCATTCCGAAGCTCTCGAGGTACGCTATGGTTTTTTTGTCTTTGTTACCAGGAGTATCTTCCTTATGTTTTGAATTCCTGACAGCCAAGAATTAGGCAAGGAAGAAAAAATCTTGACGGGTACATTTCACGACGGTGACTCGGAGTAACATTGAGGGCCAATTCAAATGTTACAATGTTATAGCTCTTTTCATCCGCTAAATAGGTGACGCATTCCTCTGCACTCTACTTTATCTTAAGGTGAACAGGCTTCCTGAACGGCTCCATGTTTCTCTCTTTTTAAAATCTTGAGTACGAGAGCATTTCAGGCTAGAAACGATCTTGGATGAACGCTGCTTTGGACACGTCACCAGCATTACTACACATCGCGAGGGTTTCGACAGAGCGCGCTCTTTGTATTTGAACGCATTTCCATAAGACCTTAGAAAGAGATACGTGTCGGGCTTTCACTAGGAATGAAGATAATTTGTCGAAAGATGGTTGTACATATATAATATGAAATTTGCAGGAAAATACAAAAGTTTCGACGCAGAATTTTTGAATGAGCTTAATTGGATACATCGACCGAGATGTCACCTCCAAATCAACGTTAGCTAAAGTACTTCTTCAATGACGTATAGCCAGCGTCGCTGGCTCAGGTGATTCATACGCACGCCGACTGTTAGATTGCGTACGTGTCCAAACGAAGACATTTACATGCATCCACATCGACCTTTCTAGGTGAGCGCTTAGTCGATAACGTCTGTACCACAGTATAGTAAAGAGTGCGTCTGAACCTATGCTTAAAAGTATTTATGTATAAAGCTTGTTTTAAAGCTCTAGTAGACACTTGTTAGCTTCCCCTTTCTCACTTTGACAACCAAACAAGCCAATACCAGTTCATTATAACACAGCACACCTTGCATATTAAATTAGAATAGCAGTCTAGAAAGAGAAGTTCTGGGTCTCGAATGCTTCAGATACTACTACTTCGTATACTATTTTTTATTGCAAGTTAGTATTGATAAAATCTCGGCATGTTATTAGTTCCAAAGACAAGATATTCATGTTACGAGGACCTACACCACCTTATCCTCCGAGCCGCTCTGGCTTTTATTTGAACGTGGGATGTCGTCCATCTCGATCTTGGAGAGAATTGCTGGTTGAGTAATCCCAGCTCCCACCATCGCCTTCTTGCTGCGTTGGTCCATTATCTTGTACACCACAAAGACCAAAAGCACAATGACGAATGCACCAACCAAGCTCGTAATAACTGTTGGTGGTCCGAAGCCTTCTCCATTCGCTGTATCAGCTAGTGGAGTTGTGCAACGTGGACCACCCCAAGCACCGGAAGATCCGCATCTACAGCGATGTTTCTTGCTACATTTCCCCGTCAAAATGTGAGAAGTACTGACCGTACAGTCGTTATCAGTCTTGCAATTGGCTCCACCGTGAACCTCAATCCATTTATTCTCCGTCGTCTCATACTCATCAATGTGATCCTCGATCCATTGTTTAGTCGGATGAGTAGACGGGTCACACCCGATAGCCATCGTGGAGTTGGAAGAGAGATCCTGATAGATACGAATGTAGTCGATCTTCATGAACATGGGGAAACCGTCACAAATAGCGTTATGTTGCGCATTGCTCCCATCTCCACGACATGGCGACCCTGGATTCGGTGGCGTGGTACCCCAACTAGTTGACAGAGCGACGTTGAAAATCACGTACATGGGTTCTTCCAACATGAGTTTCTTAGGGTTGGACTTGGCAGCATCTTGTGGAACATTCTCGACCGACTCGGCTGGAATTTCAAAAATCACAATATCCTCGACCATCCAGCGAATGTAACCTTGTGAGCCCATGACCCATTCGACTTGGTATTTCACATAACTTGTATATGCTGCGAGCTGAACTGGCCAATTAGCGGACAGGGCGTCCATCTGATACTCGAATGGTTCCATAACTTTACTCTTGGGTTCTTCCGCACCTAACGGAGAGGAACATTTTTTGTTGGAACTGTCAGGGTCACATAGGAAAGCTCCCGTGTATCCGTTAATAACCGGCATACAGCCGCCTTCTTTGTTAACCCCCCAGTAATCAGGCCCTTTCCCGTCGATCAAGCCTAAATCGGAGTATCCGTCACCCGAAGCTGGACACGCATTGACTCCTTTACACGTATTAGAAGTGAAGCCTTTCTCGGCATTTGCAAGCACCGTTTTGGGATCTTGCATCAAGCTGCCAACTGGGCTACAAAGAGTATTTGGAGCGTACCGTAGTCCTTGATACCAGCTTTCATAATCTCGAGCTTCGTACGCTTTGGCTGGGATCCCAGGAAAGTTAGCACCAATAGTAGTACACTCGGCCGTGAAGACGCAGAAGGGACTTTTATCATCCGTGGGAGCAATGATACGGAATTTATCGGGCATTCCAGGAGCGACCTGGATACTTGTGGAGATGGCTACACCTCCTCCTTCCAGTAGATCTATTTCCGGCGCTCCTCGTCCTTGATGAGCATTCAATCCACTTCCTGGATTACCGTCACACGCACTGATTCTTTGACTGGATTCGAATTTTTCGTCACATTCGTCGTAACTCCAAGGCCACATCCGACTGGTCGATTGGGAGAATAGAGCTCGTCCTAGATTTCCTAGAAGCCAAATACCAGGCCACGTGGGATAGAAGCTGTTCGTCTTGACGCGACCTTTGATGTCACCCATATCGGGGTTACTAGAGCTGGTTGTTGCTGGTAATTGAGCCACCACTTCCATCCTTCCTCCTTGGAAACAGAATTTGTTCCAGGATTGCACCATACCGGCTCGGTAGTACATGTGATGGGTCTCGAAACCCGCAGGCTTAGCGTACGTGTTCCACACCGTGTAGGTGATGTTGTCCTCTTCCATAATCTTTATCCGGAAGACACCACGACCGTCCGATTCCGTTACGGTATCGGTCATATTGAAGCTGTAGTATTCGAGAGCTGCATTGACACCGTCGGGCATTTCTAACGCCGTCCACATGTGATCCGAACCGGGCGTAAAATTACGCCCAGGAACGTTAAATTCGTCGCTCATGACCAACGTCCACGTATCTCCACGCGACGACGTGACGTTGAGTGCACTCTCGGGGGTGTCAACGTCCACCCAGGGGCTCAATCCAGACCGAGATTTGATCATCGAGTCGGCACGCTCTGAGGAGACCAAACTCGTGATCAAAGCCAAAGTTGAGCACGAGAACAGCGCCGAGTGCATTTTACTCCTTGATCTTAACCGATAGACAATTGCTGGGATATCTTGGGAGACGCCTTTGCTGGCTAGGGAAGAAGGAGAATGAAGCTACGTGAGACCAGCGCACGAACGGTAAAAGGTCGCACGGCTTCCGTTACGACATGTACGTTTCGGCTTTTCTTGTGGACTAAAACTTTGGTGAAGCATCGTACTGGCAGAGTCGATGGGTGCTCGGCATGGGTACAGTTGAGGAGCACCTTAATGCAGGCAAGTTATGGTTGCAACGATGTCAGAGTTCGAAAAATCTCTCGAATGTCAGGCAAACTCAAAATAGGTGCGGGTAAAGATAGCTTCAGGGCTACACGAGCTGAACCTTCACCGACTGCGTTGATGAAGGGCAATGGACGAGCGATCCCATCTCCCGACACCTCATTTTTCAAGGGGCTATCGGAAGCCGGATTCGAGAATGGTGGCTCCGTTTAGAGAACTCAACATCTTTCCTAATTCCCAGTCATGGAGTGGGAACGAACCCATTTCTAAACCTTCTCGTCGTCGCGGTCTCGCCACTCTCCCGTTTATTTTCACGATGCCATCCGAAGCAGTCGATAACTCGGAATTCAGACCGTCAACACCTGGAGCCTCCGCTTCGACCTTCCTGGACGCCTTACGCAGACGAACACTACTTGACTTATCCTGTATGAGAGAGTTCTCCCTACTACGCACCAAGCCATTACCCGAGCGAAATCTCTCGCGGTTATCTGTCAGTTCTGCCTACGACATGCACACGGAACAACTGCATCTCCAGCAATTCGCCAAACTTCAAAAAGATACAGATACCCGTAAAGTTTCCTCCACAAAGCGCCAAACTCAGCGAATCACCCACCTGCACCGGAACATCTCAATCCCAGCGACCAAATCAGGACCATTCAACCAGTTTATGGCTGCATTCGCCGCTTCCCCACCAACAAAAATCCCGCATAAGCCACAAAAACCGAAATCGCAACCTAAAAGTCAAACCGTGTCTTCGACTACCCCCAAACTTTCCGTGGCGGAGCAACATGGCTTCCTCCAGGAACAAGATCCAGCAGCTCTTATGACAGCTACAGGTTATTCTCGAGCAGAGTTATTCGCACATTGGGCTCGCTTTAAAGCCTTGTGCTCCATGGCCAACAACTCGCACGGTGTGGATAAAGAGACGCTACGTCATGGAGTTCCTCAACTTTCCGCTGAAGATCAATTCTTTGTCGATCGCGCCTTCGATGTGCTTGATACGGACGACTCTGGCGCTCTTGATTGGCCAGAATTCATCGCTGCACTGAGTGCACTGGAGAAAGGAGATGCTTCTCGTCGAATCGACTTCTTGTTCCACGCTTACGATATCAATGGAGATGGCTACATCCAACGCCACGAAGTGCAGATGTTCTTTTTGGCCAGTTTACTGGTCCCCCAGACATCTGAAGCTGTCGATGTAGCGCGACATTTCGTCGACAAGATTTTTATTTCTCTTGGACGAGAACAAAGCGACTCGATTCGAGTGGAAGACGCCATGAAGTATCTACGTGAACACCCAACTATGGATGCGTATAGTGCTCTGGGACGTACAATGGTGTCCACACCTCCTTCCACTCCAGCACCTTTAGGTATCCGACCAAGAAGAAAACTCATGGAAGAAGTTCAGGATAAAACACAGGTTAATTATCCTGTATGATACTGCATTAATCTTCACACTCGTTCGTTAATACGTTCCGTCTAGGTGCCATAGGCTGCACAATACAGGTTAACAAAGCGCCATAAATACAGGATAAAGCAGGATCAAATGCCTTACCTCCTCTTCGTAACTTTGTATCTTCCGGAAATCCTTGCCGGACACAGATTGGTTCCGTGTTCTTGGTGGTGACCGAGTCGTACTTTCCCACACTTGTTGCTTCAATGGACGTTGCCGTACATGAGCTTTCGGCGATATTCGTTCGTTATCGGGGCCTTTATGAGCCTTATACCCCACATGCTTGCGATGTGGACTGGCTCTGATCGGAGACATGATAGGGATAGCTGGTAACCTGTACGTATCTTCTTTGCTGGGTTCTCTAGTTGATGTTCGAACAGGAGAAAAAGGCATTCTGTTTACCTCTTCAACATTTTTTAGTGCTTCTTCAACACCATCGACTGCTGCGCTGTAGTTGTGGAGTTGAAGACGTGAGTTGCGGCTTGGTCTTCTAGGTGGTCCTCGTTTCTCCACTCCATGTACAACAGCACTTACCCCAATAGCTAGACGTGAAGAGTCTAGTTGGGGTAATTGTGCTAATGTTGACGCAGTTTGAATCGGACGTCCTGGCGTCTCTGGTGGCAACATTACAGACGCTCTAGGTCGCTTTATAGGTGAGCAAATAGCAGCTGACAGACGCTCTTGTTCTTCTGGAACATGGTTGGTACCGTCACAAACCGAGAACGGCAGTGTCTCTCGCTCCAGTTCAAACTTACTACGTTGAATTTTCGTCCTCCCACGACCTCGTGATGCATTTTCTTGCGGTCGGGTGGGTGATAGCCCTGTTGTAACAATTGAGTTTGCTGTAAAATACGCTTGAAAGTCTTGATCTGCTTGTGAGGAACACGTCGCGTCGTCACTTTCAAGAGAGCTATTTAAACCCGATGTCGCTCGACGCTTCGAACGCGCTTCTTCTCGCTCTAAATGAGCCAGAAGATCGTTCCGTCGTGCGTGTTCTTGAGCTGAAAGTTGTCGCGGTGTACCAAGGGCGAAGATGTTGGATAGCGCTGCTGTATCTGGAGTCTCGTCGTGCTCTACGCTCGTGTCTGTGGTTGGTTTGTTACTCACGATATCAATCTCCATGTCTACCGAGTCGTTAGTGGGGACAATAATCTTGTGTCGTACAGTCTTCCATCGACTTCCTAGTCGCGGTGACGGCGCCATAAGCAAACGAACTTTACGCGAAATGGCACGCTCTCTCGCGTTCAAAAGTGCTTTCTTGACTACTTGACCAGGAGCTCGTCGATCCATTTCGACAGCTCGAGGCGGCATCTCCTCCAGATAACTACTCAACAGCTCGACTTCAGGGCCAGAACCAGGTAACTTTAGCGTAACTTTATCAGGACCTTCCGTACCCGTGTCCAGCTCTTCCTCCGCAGTAAGCACCGCTTTGTGCACTAATTGTTGCAAATGTGACAAAGTCACTCGCGCGTTCTTAACGTCCAATACCTCCCGATTCACGTCCATCACGAACGTTATTGTGCTCGGTACAGCACTCACGAGCCCTTTAGAAACGAGTAGCTGCAAGAATACAGACACCTTATCTACCGGAATACACCACACGTCTCCCGTTCTACCTGCGACCGCTTGAGAGGACGGGAAGTGTTGCAATTCCAGACCAACACGGTCCGCTCGTTTCTCTAAAAAATAAAGTAGTCTTCTTAGAAACAACAACGGCGTTAAAGCACTGCGAGTACGCCGTTGTGGCTTCAGTATCTGCTGTCTCCCACTGCGATCGAGCGAGTCGGATGGCTTACACGCACTCATCTGGACGCCTTGAAACACTAAAGCACACATCTGACGCGCCGTCGTCGTAAACAACGCGGTATTCTGCACACGCACTTGCATCTCCTCAAAGATCCCAGTCAAGAGATCATCCAACAGACACACACACGTATGCTCTGCATCGCCTAGAGCTGATCGTCGAGTCTCTAGCTCCATATCTCTGTCTTCTATGCTCTCCTCCATCACGACGTCGCTCATCGCTGTACGTCCGATCACTCCACAAAGACTAATAAAAACATTGAAACGCTAATTAGTCTTCGTACCTTTTTTTGGCGCTTGGAACCTTGCTGTAACAAACATACACAACACATAACTCTCACTTCGGTCTATTGAATAGCCCTGGGCTTCTAAAGTGCCGTCTCTGTGGGCGAGCGTTCCATCGCCGCTGTAGGAGAATTCGTCGGCGTCTTACTAGCAGCTTTGGGTCGACGTTGATACAAGAGCATGTACGCTTCGCACTGTAATACTTGCTCGAAAGACACGCGCTTGACGACCGTGTCTGAGACGTAATACCACGTCCGCTCTGCGCTTCTCGGCGTCGTCACGTCGGGCACGGTAGCGCCCTCTTCAGAGGCCAAACGACTGCGTGCTCGAGCCAATAACAACGCTTCTCGTCGACGCGACCGACTGACGTACGCCACGTAATGTCCCGAGCGTTTGTTGCCCATATGCACCACCACAGCGATGAGTTCATAGCAAAGCGAGTGGTTCTTGGCCTCTCCTCCGCCTTGACGCAACGTTTCGCTCACATACGGCGTCATATCGAGCTTGTCACGGAACGAAATGTGCTGTGTGATCTTCCTGGAGCGCGCCAGACGCTTGATATGCACCACTAGCACACGAGGTAAGGCCGATACAAACAACTGCATGGACGCATCTCGCAGCACCACCTCCATCTCGGGCTCGGATCCCAGACGCTTTTTACGCATAAATCTCGTGGCCACACTGCGCGCTTTGGGCTGACGAGAACATTTCTCACAGTCGTAGCCATTATTGGCTTCCACCAGCAGCTGGGTCTCCCTCACAAAGTCGTCCAGACAGTCCGTGGTTGACAAGTCTCGATGTCGTCCATCGGGCACAGATACACTGAGATGGAAGGCGTCTTCGACGATCTCCGTGCGCTTCCCACATGCTTGACACGTCACGGCAGTCGTCAAGGCGCCGCCGAAGAGATTACGCGTGAAATTCAGCCGAGAATACATCTTCCGCTTCTCTGCTCGCGCGTGGAGTACAGCCGACGGGCGGGACGACAACGTCGCGCGAGTTTCCACTTTGGACGCGTCCAGCATCATGTCTTCTTCGTTTAAGTTCAGTCTCTTGGCCAGTAAATGCTGCACGTCCTTCAAAGTCGCGTTCTTGGGCACCTGCATCGAGATCGTCTCGCCCGTCTCGGTTTTGACAAAGATCTGCTTGGTTTCCTCCTGTTCGACGTCACTCTCGCTGCCTTCTTCCTCCTCAGTTTCCTCGGTCTGTTCGCTGTCCGTCGCGTCTTCTTCGGGCCACGTTCCGTTTTCGTCGTCGAGTAATTCCGACGACGTGGCTGTACTGCAGCTACTGGTAGTGACACTGTCGGTAGCCGCTTCAGAGGCGGGGAGAGGAGGGTCCATCTCTTCGTCGATAGCCCACAAGAAGCTGGTGAACAGCTCGTGCGCGTCTTGTTGATAATGGCCTCGAAACTGTGAAAACTTATGACGCATCTCCTTGAGTAACGGCGCTACAGTCAGCACGGACGACGAGCCCGAGCGTGCTCGACTGCTCTTTGTCCTGCCGCGACGATCTGATGACGACTCGCCGGCGAGCGCTTTCCGAGCACGCTTTTTCACGGTCTCGTGGAGCATGCTGTGTTTAAAACATTAGTTTAAAACATTTTCAGAGCGTTTAAAACAATCACGTACGTGAAGGTCGTCGTGATGGGCGTGTTCTTCGTCTCCAGCACGTCCTCGATGTGCGTGTGCTCTGGGAAATAGTGCGTCGCGGTCAGTAAGGCTTGCATGGACGCGTTGAAGTAGCACGTGTTGCCTAAATTCGTAAACCCGAGCACCGTATTGGGCAATTCTCCCGAAGTTTCAGTATCTGTCGAAGAGACACTGATCTCCTGCATGGGTTCTCTTTTCAAGGCTGTTTTTAACATCCTGCGACGCATTTTATCTTCTCTCGCTTTGGTTCTTAACGGCATGTCCAGTAGCGCCACTCCGTTGCTGTTAGAGTGGCCATCGACATCGTTATCCAGTGTTAAGGCGTCTCTGGGAATCGGAGGCGTGTCGGAATGAGTCTCTAGATCCAGCAGGTTATTGGTCGAGCCGTTGGGCGTTGTGATTGGCGATAAAGTCGTCTGTGGAGCGCGTATCTGGTTACGCAGCTGTCTTCTCTTCTTGGCTGCTAGCTCCTCCACTGCGTCGCAGAAACCCTGACGAGCGCTCTCGACTTTAGGACGTACGTTGATGGGGATATCCATGTTGCAAGGCTCGCACCAGAAGGTCTTGGAGGCCAGCTGCAGTCCCACAAAGTGCTTGGGATGAGCCTGTAAGTGGAGACTGAAGTGGCCGTCGCTGAAGCAGCCAATGAAGCCGCAACTCACGCACACGAGCAGGTCTGTGGCCTCTGTGTACTTGTCCCAACTCTGGAGCGCTGTCGCGTCGATTCCACTTGTGGAAGGTGGATTGCAACCCTTTAAAAGAACGGTTAATGTGGTTGTTCAGTTACGTTAAGAACTGTACGAGATTGCAGAGCACTTTACCTCACAAAGAAGATGCGAGCGCTTTTTAAGCTCACGACGGAATTCAGGCAGACGTACGGCCTGCCCCACGTGGCGGCAGCTCTTTTCACCGCCCATGGCGACCACGAACACGGGGACGTGGAACAAGGAGCTGCTTGGGCGTAAAGGTTCTCTTCGATTTGATTTCGGTTAAGTGCGAGTTTAAGAGATTGTTGAATGGGTTATTCTGTGTTATAGGATTCGAAAGTGGAGGTTGAAGTGCCCCAGCAATACAGTGCTTATGCAGACTTTATCGTTGCACCACTTCAGGTATGGGTAACATCTACTTCTCATACCTGACGGGATTAAAAGAAGACATTGTATTTTTTGCTGGCAGTCGCAATTTAAGGAGGGTAAATCGACAGCTAATAGAGCGTCACAAATTGCTCATAATATGAGCCTATTATGCGTGCGATTGGAGCTCTAGGTTTGTCAGTGCTCCAGTCATTTGCGCCGACTCGCCCGCTTGGAGTCGCTTCATGCTACGCACGCCACTCTCGAACCTGGTCGTGTGGGTACGACGCCAAAGCGGACGAGCGAGTCAATCTTTGCCTTGAAACACCGAAACTGCTTGAAGACGAGCAACTTAACTCAATCTGATTGCTGATTGGTCAACGAACCGCCGCCACGCCAGGCGATCTTACTCTATGACCTCTCCAAAACCACTTCGTTTCACTATGTCTCCCTTGAAACAGAAGTACAAGATCGGTGCGACATCCCCCGAGGAAGAACAAGAGCAAAGCGTCGCGACCTTGAGCAGCCATTCGACTTTCCCCCATCAAGCGCCTACCGCTCACCCTCTACGTGCTAATCCATTCATTATGCCTGCCAAGGACTGCGCCGAGAGCAAAGCTCAACACGACGCTGAGCGCAGTGAGCTTGAAGCCAAGAAGAAGCGTCTCAAGACGCAGAGCAAACACGTCGAGTCCGAGGACGACGAGACGGAGGAGGAGGACGCGCCCTCCACGAGTGACAGCGACAGTGACGATCACGTGGATTTCAGTGCCATTACTGCGCGTCTGGGCCGCTCAGCCAGCGCACACCGTCGCTCTGTAGTGTCCTCCTTCGTGCCTCCTCCGAACGAACTGTGGACGCCTCCGGTGTACCCCAAGAGCACGCACGACGCCGAGTCTATTCGTCGCTCTGTACGTCGCAACCTGCTCTTTGCTAAAATCCCGGAAGACACGCTGCAAGTACTGGTGGACGCCATGAAATACGAGGCGATAGATGCCGGCGTGGACGTTGTGACGCAGGGCGACGTGGCTGGAGACAGGTTCTTCATCTTGGACAGCGGAACGTGCGACGTGCTGGTCAACAATCGAGTCGTAGGGGAAGTGAGTGCCACATCTGTACGCAATTATTTCGGCGAGTTGGCGCTGCTGTACGATTCGCCAAGAGCCGCAACTGTTTGTGCCAAAACACCTGTAGAGTGTTGGTCATTGGACAGAGTGACGTTCAAACGGGTGTTGATGGCCACAACTATGCAACAGCGAGCACTTTACCTGGACTTCTTAGACCAGGTCCCCATCTTCTCAACCTTGTCGAGCTATGAGAAGATGACGGTGGCCGACGCCTTGCGCGTACAGTTCGTGGGAGCGGGAGACGTCATTCTCACGGAAGGATCCAGAGGCGACGACTTTTATATTATTGCAGACGGCGAAGTGAAGTGCACGCGTGGAGAAGAGGAAGTGTCGGCTCGCCTTGGAGCTGGCGACTTCTTCGGCGAACTCGCACTCATCCACGACGACGTGCGTCAAGCCACCGTCACAGCCATGCGCAAGACCAAGGTGCTTATGCTGGACCGAGCCACGTTCAAGCGTCTGCTAGGCCCCATGCAAGAGCACCTGCGTAAACGTGCGGACCTCTACGAACTCTACATGAACACACCGAGAACCCAGCGCACAACTGATCTACTGAAGTAAGATAATTGTAGATATGCGTGGCAAGCTCACTCCATTGTGAAATACAACGACATGCTAAGGCCACCGGGAGCTTTTTACCCTGTCAATATAAAAAAACAATGTAATCAAGATCGAATAAGATTTTCACAAGAAGAAAAGAGACGCAATCTTTACTGGTAACAAAAGATAAACGGGAAAGACAATCGACAACAACGAAAATCACGCTTTCATAACTGAAAATTTGTTCAAATTCAAATTTACTGACAGAATACGAGAGTCCAATGTGTGTTGTCAACTTTACCAGCACAGTTTGCCGGGGAGGTACTTGTCAATAATTGCCTGGTAGTACGGCCACAGCTTCTCGACGTCTGGACGCACATCTGCCTTCGTGTACAGGTCGAACTTGTTGAACTCGAGCACCCAGTCCAGCAACTCCTCGTCGTCTTCGTTCATCAGGTGCTTGTACTCCTTCTTGTTGTGCCACGGGTAGCACGAGTGGTAGCGGATCATCGCCAGACCTTCCTCCGGGATAGTAGTCTCGTTGAACTTGAGCATCTGGTACAGATACTCGTCGTGGCCCCAAGCGAACTTGAGGTTCTTGAAGCCACAGTGCGGCTCGTACATGCCAGAGTCAGTGTTGTAACGCGAGTCGCTCATGTCCGGGTTGGTGGAGTTGTACTCCGGGAAGACAACCGAGTCGGGGATCTTGCAGCCTACAACCCACGTGTCTCCTCCCAGAGCCCACTGGTCTCCGTCAGCGGTGCCCTCCTGTCCGTCTTCAGGGTGACCCCAAAGGTACTGGATCTTCCCCATATCATGCAACAGACCGACGAGTTGGAACCAGTCCGGGTGACCAGCAGCACGGATACCCTCCGCAGTCTGTAGCATGTGCTCGAGGTTGGGCAGTGACGAGTCCGGGTCGGACGAGTCCACGTATCCCTTGAGTGCCGCGAAAGCCTCCCACACAGTCATCTTGGTGTTGGAGAAGGAGCCGTACTTGGCCTGCATCTTCTCCTGGAAGGCTACGGTCTGGTTCTTGCGCATGAGTGCGTAGTGGCGAGTGACGAGAGCGTGTCTGTCCGAGTCTTTGTAGTTGCGGAATTCCTCCTCCGCCTTGCCAGCAGTGACCTTGCCGGTGACTTCGAGCGAGGGCTTGTGGGCGGCGACGGTGTCTTCAGCCACCATTGGTTGACTGTGTTAATTTTATAGTTTGCTTGGGTTGGAGAGGAATTGGAAATGTGAACGGGCGGTTGACTGCCAGTGGAAGTTGCTAAATTTGGAGAAGGAAGTTGCAGTGTTCAGCTCTTGTGAAACAGACAAATCTTCCTTCTGGCGGTTTTCACGCTCTTTTTTCGCCAATGGACGCGCGTGTTTTTTAGATTTTAGTCAATGAGACGTAAGATGAGTGGTTGAAAATAGTCGCACGGCTTTTTTCTGTGACCAGTGCTCAAACCCATCTCAACGATGAGTGAGTTCACTTCGAAAAACTGAGCCAGAACTCAAGCTCTGTTTTGTCTTGCGATTGTCGGGAAGTCTGTTAACTCGCACAGTGCGTGCTTGACTACCGCCTCTCATGATCGCGAGTACGAGGGGTCCCTAGACTAGGGATCCGAGGATAACTATTACATGTACATGAAATTAGCACTGTAATACTACAGAAATCGCATAAAAATAAGAGAGTGGGTATCTTGCCCGACTGGGATTGCCCTTCCCCTACGCATCCCTTTCTCTTACCGAGCTGGTTCATCCGTACAACAGTATACATCGTATACCACCGTGAGCCACACAATTCGTTAACGGGGAGAGCGTGAGCGACAAGCATGGATCTCCGCACGCGCGCAGCGCAAAAGCGCCCTCTTACTCATTCAGCTGAGTGGGAGTCCGATGAGAGCGAGGGTAATAGTTCGGATGCGCCTCCTGCTGACGTCTGGGCGCCTTCCCCCGTCGTGAGTGAGCTTAATACGACACATATTCCGTTGGAGCCAGTGAGCTGCTCCGATCCGCCGGAATCCACCATCAGCACAAGCGAAGGTGGTAGCTCCGTCCGCGTACTCGCCTTGGCGCCTAAGAATGTTGAGTTTCCCTCCTGGGAGGTGTTTGAAGATTATTTGGCCTTATACCAAGCACAGACGTTCCAGGCACGTGTTTTCTATAGCTGTGTATATACGTTTTGGCTGACATGCACTATGAATTTATCTGTAGATTTTCAGGGTGAGGACAAATACGACTGTGGCAGAGCGCAACGCACGGATCGACCGCACAAAGTCAAAGGCGGAAAAACTTCCTGACGAGTGGGTGCAATACGCAAAGACCTTTGTTTGCACCTATTCCGGGAAATTTAAGTCCCAGGCCACGAGCAAGAGACCCCGGCAGGAGTCTAGGATGAAAGGATGCAATGCCCAGGTAAAGTGAATGATCGGGCTCGGTCGGGCTCGGTCGGGCTTGGTCGGGCTTGGTCGGGTTCGTTCGATCGGGATTGAGACTTGTCTGGTCGTGATGGAAATCCAAATGAGGTCTTACCACTCTCTATGTGATTGATTATGTGTTGATAAATGCCTGTGTTCAGGTGGTGGATTCTGAGAAGATGATCTTCGCTGTGAGGATAACGAGATGCCGACTGGAACACAATCATCGGCTTTCGAACCATTCGTTTAGAGCACATCCAACAAATCGTCTTGTACTGAATGAGGATGCTTTACAGACAGTGGATGTACTTCGACAGGCTGGTGCTAAGAAGTCGAGTATCATGAAGTACATTACGGAAAACTCGGACAGCAACCCGACTTCGCAGGATGTCCACAATCTTATTCGTAAGTTGAAGGCTCGGGAATTGCGAGATGGCCCGAGCACTAGTGAAAAGCGGTTGAAGAAGTGGATGAAGCAATTTGGTGACCGCCCTGGTAATGTTGGTCGGATTTTCCTCGACGATATAAATCAGAAGGTAACTGGTGTGAATAATTTGGGTTGAATTGAAAAGATGAAAACTTAACTCTATGTTTATCGTGTTTTGAACATACAGAAAGTAACGACTTGCATCACCCTACAGACGAATCATATGAGGACTCTGCTCGAGCAGTTTCTTGAAGTTCTTTTGATTGACGCCACCCACGGAACGAATCGGTCTAAGTACAAGGTCTTTTCGTTTATGGCTCATGACACGTTTGGTAAGGGGCCGTTCGTCCAGCACGCTTTGCTTCAAAACGAGCGGTACACTACATTACTGACGGCGCTGGAGGAATTCAAAGTTAATAATCCAGCGTGGAAAAGGCTGCAGTGTGTTCTTGTGGATAAGGATTTCACGGAGACCTCAGTATTGAAAGAAGCTTTTTCTGGAGTGACTATTTTGCTCTGCCAATTTCACGTACTGAAATACCTACGTGAAGAAATTGCCTCGGCTGACTATGGATTTTCGAAGACCCAGAAGGAGAAACTTGGAGGTGCGATGAGTTTACTGGTGTACGCAAAGACTGAAGCAGAATACGAGAAGCATTTGCGGTACATGGTCCACCTCGCGTCAATTGGCTATTACGTCCCAGCGTCTAATGTGCCGGAGCCAACTGGGAGTGAACCGAACTAGATCGGCCGTCAATCGGGGTCAGTCGGGGGTGAGTCTGGTGCAGTCGGGGGTGAGTCTGGTGCAGTCGGGGGTGAGTCTGGTGCAGTCGGGCATGCGAAATCGAGTACAGACCAAACGCCAACGAGAGAACCCGTTCGATGCGACGAAGAACATCCATTTGTGGCGTATTTCCGCCGGAATTGGGACAATTGCCGTGAGATGTGGTGTGCGTACAAGCGCCAAAATACGATTACACTCGGAAATAACACAAACAACAGGCTGGAAGCCTCATGGAAGCAATTAAAAGCGTGGGTGGATTCTTTCATGTCTGTCGATGATTGTATTGTGTCTATGATGTACTATCAAACACTACAAGAAAAGTTGTTCATCGGCGAAGTGACGAAGAACGTGAACATACAGCACCCAAATTACGATGGCGAAATGACCTGGCTGGCAAATATTGTGAGCGAACACGCCTGTGATCTTATTTACGGGCAGTATTCTTTTGCTCTCGGACGAGCGGCGTATACCTTCTCTGAGCGGCTGCCCGGTGTGTACTTGATAAAGAGTACGTGCAAGGATATCGATGCACTGGATGAGGTCGACACAGAATACTCCGTTACAAAGTGCGACTGGACGTGCTCTTGCCTGTTCATGTGCACGCGATTGCTGCCATGCCGCCACGTATTTTACCTCCGCAAAGCCTTGGGCCAAGAAACTGTTATTCCGACCCTCACGCTAAACAAGAGATGGCTGATATCTACCGTGCGGTCGGCAATTGAAAACAACGGTACCAGTAATCACGTCTCTACACCGAAGCCGTTCGAAGTGAAGAATGTTCTGCCTGCTCGAAATCGACCTTGGGATTCAAATCGCAAGTATAGAGAAGCCTTACCTATTGCATCCGAAATTTGCGACACTATGGCTGGACTGGGTATGGATGAATATCATCACTTATCGGACCTCACTAAGGTTTATTATCAGTTTTAATGGCCAATCATATATTTATTTGCTTTGGATAACCAATCATATCCAAAAATTATGTCAGTCTTGGCCAATCAATCCGTCAAGGGTTAGGTTGGTCATCTAAACTCCACATCGGACGTATTAGGTCCGAGGGGCACGGAAAATATGTGTATCTCTTTACAAATATTAAGATGTCGGCGTATCACACGCATATTTTCATTTTATCCGACCGGCGTAATCATTTCAGTACAATTGACTCCATAAGCGCTTCTAAATTTTGTTGTATTGATACCGTAGCAATTTCTCGAAAGCGCTTAAATGGCGACATGATGCATGGAATTAAGAACCTCTGTGCTGACGAGATGCAGTAGCTACACTTGTAACTTCTAATAACTTCCGTGAGGTGGTGCATTGCGAATTCTTATTATTGTACCCGTTTTTAAAGAGACATTGACAATTTGCATC